CTGCTACTCTTACTACTTTTAAATCCAGGCTGAAGACTTTTCTTTTTGTCGCTGCTTTTAATTCAACTATTCATATCTTAAACTGCAGTATGTAGTGTTTCTACTTTAAAGAGTCCTCTCCTGCTAATGTTCAGGTGTATATCAGTATGTAGTGTCTCTACTTTAAAGAGTCCTCTCCTGCTGATGTTCAGGTGTATATCAGTATGTAGTGTCTCTACTTTAAAGAGTCCTCTCCTGCTGATGTTCAGGTGTATATCAGTATGTAGTGTCTCTACTTTAAAGAGTCCTCTCCTGCTGATGTTCAGGTGTATATCAGTATGTAGTGTCTCTACTTTAAAGAGTCCTCTCCTGCCGATGTTCAGGTGTATATCTGTAGTGTCTCTACTTTAATCCTGTAACTTTTATCCATGTATTTTTTCTTTTAATGTTTATTTTATTAACTTTTCTTTTTAATGACTGATTTTAAATGCCATTTTCTGAATGTCTTTCATTTTTTGTAAAGCACTTTGAATTGCCTTGTGTTGAAAAGTGCTATATAAATAAACTTGCCTTGCCTTGCCTTACATATATGAATGTTTTCTGTGTCTCTCAGCAGCGGGAGAGGTTTCTGCGGCACAGTGACACCGGCCCCGTGGGGGAGTGGCCCTCTCCGGACTCCACCATCTCACCCTCTGGATCCACCAGGGAGGGCAGCAACAGGCCGAGAGCGTGGAGCGTCCGCACCTTCCAGGACCTCCTGCCTCCTCTGCCGCAGCTGCACAAGAAGTGGTGCAGCTGGAACTCCAGCAGCCCCTTCACCAAGCTGGTGGACAGCGTGAGCACAAAAAACAATTTTCATATTACACCGGAGCTGGTCAGAGTTAGATTCAGTTAATTACACCTACTCAATTCGTTTCTAAGGCTTCCCTGTCTTTTTCAATTTGTCAACGGTTGATTTTCTCTTAGTCAACTTTAATTTCTATAGTCAGTTTTGTAATGCTTTTTCAGGCTGAATTACTTATTCATTGAATCTTTTTGGCTGATAAAAACCTTATTAGTCTACTTTAGTATAGATGGTTGAAACTAATTGGAATTAATATAATAAAAACAAGAGATCCCTTATCCTCAGCTCTGACCTCTTAGTGTTCAAAATTGCAACACACACAGTCTTTTGACCTCTCTTTCAAACAGACATGCAGTTTTTTTGGTTTAATAGATGCTTTTCTATTTGATAACATTCAATCGAGCTTAATAATTTTTCCTTCACTCTCTTTATGTCTTTATTTTAGTTTTTAACCCTGACCAGTGTGAGGATTATGGATATCAAATATTTAGTGTTTATCTTTACACCCATGCCTTTTTATTCATCGATCTCCTACTTTCCCAGACTCCAACCGGTTTGGCAGCGGACGGGAGAGCGGACCGCGGCAGGAGGATCTTCTCTGACGTTCACCTGGACTCTAAAGCCGACAGCAGCTCCATCTCTGACTCCACCCTGAGCAACGCCTCCTTCCCGCTGTCGCTGCCCGCCCAGAGGCAGCGGCGCCTCAACTCCACCAGCAACCTGCGGCGCTCTCGCTTCACCGGGCCCTGTTTCGGCCTCCTCTCCGGGACACAAGAACCAACAAATCCCTCTGTTGTTGTGGTTCCTCCAACACAAGGTTCCCCGTCTGAACCCAGCTCTGCTTCCTCCACTCAGAGTCAGACAGAGAGCGTGAAGAGGCGCGATTTCCCAGGCGAGAACGACCACATCAGCGTTCAGGTGTTCGCCATCTCCGAGGAGGAGGACCGGCAGCCTCTGGTCTCAGCCGAGCACCTGAACCAGACCTCTGGACCTCTGAATGGGGTGGTGAAGGGGACTTATGAGGGGAAGGGGCCCTCCAGCCTCAGCCCTCAGAGGGTCAGAGCAGAATGGAGGCCGTGGGGAAGCCAGGCATCCGGAGGGGTCGCTCCACTATCTCCCAACTCGAGCAAAAGCAACGACAGCCCGCCGTCCTTCACTCAGTGCACAGTGCCGTGCAGTGTGAACAACCAGATGGGATGACTGGTAAAAAAGAGCAGGGACTCTGAACTCTGTTAGTGAAACATATATAACCTACTTCTTTATATTCCTGAAAAATCTACAAAATGATTACTACGTATACTGTAGCCTCCTGCCGGCAAATATAGTCATCTCACGCTTTCTATTTTTATAAGTTGTACAAAGATGGAATATTATGCTGCTTACTGTACCAAGGCAATGACTGCTGTGGTATTTCGTACGACAGGTGCAAAATATTTCCATTAAGAGAAACGCTCTGCAGTTTCAGAAACCATGCAAATATTAAAACACAAATGTGCCGAAACACATGCAAATGAGGTTGATGTTCACCAACTTGACAACCCGTGCGCTGCGTTTACTAAAAGCGCTGCATAAACGAAACACTGCAAATACAAAACAATGCAAGAAGCTCAAAACACTACGGAAACAGGGACACTGAAAAGTGATGCACACAGCTGGAGCACTTGTTTTATCCTGTCACTGTTGGCAGAGTTTCATTATTGTTAGTGTTTTGTCAGTAGATTTGAAGTTAGCTACGTTAGCAAGCTAGCTTACAGCAGATCAGAATTAATCACATTTTGTTAAAATAAGC